CAGCGGGGCAGGGCGCGGCAGCTCACAGCTGAGAACAGCACCTCCGACCCTACCGGGGCAGCTCTGCAGCCTGGCCTACCCCAGCCTTAGCTGTCCAGGATCAGGGACCCTCCGAAGGTAGGGCAGCAGAGCGGGCTCTGGAGTGGACAAGGAGAAAGGGCATTTGCCTGGGGAGCACAGGCTGGGGGGTTCAAGTCTTGCCCACTCTGGGAGCAGCATGCACTCCCCTAAATGTGGAAGGGCTGCAGCCTTTGCAAACGGAGGGGATGTGCTGCACCAGTACTCCCAGGACAGCTCCCTGCTGCTGGTTTCCTTCATGGAGACAGGACCTCAGAAGAGGGGTTTCATGACAGCCCTTGTGCCCTCAGCCAAGCTCTGCTGCCCCCTCGTGCCAGCTCCCAGCCCCATGCTAGGAGCTGTCATGTCAGACACCCAAAGGCCAGAGAGGCACATGAGCTGCTACACCAGCCCGGCAGCCCCACTGCACCTCCCCCCTGGAGAACAGGAGAGAGGGTGCCTGAATGGCCCTTAGCTTGGGGCAGAAAAAAGGCCCAGCCCAGCAGAACTTAGTGGCACTTTATTTTCTATTGTGCGAGAGTACCAGAGGGGCAGGAAGGCAAGGACAGCTCCGTGCCATTCCCAGGAGATCGGAAAGCAGCAGGGGCACCGCAGAGGAGATGCCTGTCACGGCTCAGGATAGCAGAGGGGGATTTAGCCATACGAAGTTCCCGTCGCAGGGGAAGCAGCGTGGGCTAGTGGTTAGAGCACAGTGGCTGGGATTCAGGAGACCCTAGCTTGAGTCCTGGCACTACCAGACCGAGGGCTTTCCTGCTCTCCCCTCCTCTGGGCCTGGTCAGGGAAATGCCACCCAAGCGTGGAGTATTCTCTTCAGTTTCCAGCGCCCCTCCCCTGCTTCCCCCCTCACACAGAGGTGCCTGCTTGTGCAGCCTGGATCTCTAAGGCTGGCTGCAGGCTGGGGGGCGGCCCAGGCTCGGCCCTGTGAGTTCGCTGATGGTCTTTGAGAGACTCCTTGTAGCGGAAGCACCTCCCGCACGCCCCGCACTGGTAGGGCCGCTCGCCGGTGTGGATGCGCTGGTGCTTCAGCAGGTTCTGCTTGCGCATGAAGCTCTTCCCGCAGGTGGCGCACTGGAAGGGCCGCTCGCCGGTGTGGACGCGCCGGTGCCGCTCCAGGTGGGAGCTCCAGGAGAAGCCCTTCCCGCAGTCCCCGCACCGGAAGGGTCTCCCGGCAGCGTGGGACTTCTGGTGCCGGGCCAAGGCCGCCGGCTCGCTGAAGCTCTTCTCGCACCCTGCCCCTGCCGAAGGGGGTTCCAGCCCTGAGAGCGGGCCTGGGAGTGCAGGGGATTTACCGAGGGTAGCGCCACACCGATCCTCCGCCCCGTGGGTGTGCTGGGGGTGTCTCTGCTCGGCCCTCCAGAAATCCCGCCCTTCCAACGCCGCCTGGTTCGGCTCACGGCCGGGGCGACGCTCCTCAAAACATTGCGCCTCAGGTTTGGTCACGAGCTCACCACCTCCTGGAACACAGAGAGAATCCAGACACCCGCCACGGCAGGAGAACGAGCCCCCGCCGGGCTCCAGCCCCCCACCGTGCCTGGCATGACAAGGCATCTCCGCCTTGCACAGCTCTGGTGCTACGCGGGCAAGGACCATTGGCGCGTCCACGAGGACAGAACGCCAGGATCCGAACGGACCAGCGCGGGTCGGGGAGCAGGTCCGATTATTCCCATTTCACGGAGCTGAGCCCCACCCAGCCCACCGCTGCCATCTCTCGTGAACTAGCGCGTGCAAAGCCCAGCAGGAGCCATGGGCTGAAGGGCCACATTCAAGCGGTCACTCACCGACGCTCAGCACCAGCACCCTCTCCCTCTCCTCCGAGTCCTGCCGGCTCCGGGCGCAGGCCTGTCCTCGGGGCTCACTCTGGCTCGCCACTCCCGCTGGGCAACCGTGAAACTCTGCCGGCAGGAGAGAAAACGACAGGACTGCATGTTCCACGGAGAGCAGAAAACCGGCTCCCCACACAGGTACCAGCCCAGCCCGTTCTAAAACAGTGGTGGGAACCAGCTGGCCTGCAGGCAACATGCGGCCAACTGGGGCTCCGTGTGCTGCCCCTCCTCCACGCGCCTCTTGTGCACTGCGGCACCGGAGTCCCACACTTCCTATGGCTCCTCCCCCCCAGCACTTTGGAGCACGAGACTCACCTGATTTGCCTCCCTCCCCGTGGAACATCCGCAAATCAGCTGTTCACAACCCCAGTGGGCTGTGGGTTGCTGCGGCCCACAGAGGTGCAGGGGGGCCACTCACGTGGCCCACCCCCTATTTTTGGCTGCCAGGGGGCAGAGACCTGTCCCAAGACCCGAAAGGGCAGGTTTAGCTGCTGTAATTGGTGGGGAGCCAGGCGTGAGCCTTGGTGAAGGGTGGATGTGTGACGCGCTAGTAGCACTTGCGGATGCTGCTGCAGTGCAAACAGTGATCAGGAAGCTGATAAGGGCAGCAGAGAGACCCTGAGCTCGTCTGCAGCCAATGTCACTTCCGCC